TGGTCTGAGGCATTTATTTGTCAATATTTGATGTTGCTTTTGGCTGCATAGCTTGTGTGTTTATATGCAATTAACCTCAGTCTTGCCACAAAACATGGAGATTTTTGTTCCAACCTGATGAACAACTGTCAGCAGAATAAATGAATTTTGTATGTATTTCCTAACCTAAATATTTATTTATTTCATAGCTCTACATTGGTATTTGGGTTTTTTTACTACTTAGCTTTTTGATTCAGGAAAGTACCTTTGAATTTATGAAGCCCTTAAGAATATGCTTAACTTAAGCCTTGCGCTTATAATCAAGTATGTGTTGTTGAGGTGTTTTTCTGAATCTGGCAATTAATTTCTAGTAGACTTATTTATGTGAACAAAAAGTCATATTTTAAGAGGAGAAAGATGTGATGTCATAAACTAGTTACAAAACCCCTGAGCTAATTTGCATGAGAAAGATGTGAGGCTCTCTGTATTCTTATATGAGAGATGATAAGAGACCCATCCATTTATCTAGCATAGCGCTTCTTATCCTCAAAACTTTGTAAAGTTTTATTCTCCCATTGTTTGTCATAAAATCCCCTAAAGCTACAGATACGCCTTCCTTTGTCCTAGAAAATTCCTTTGAAGCTTGAATTGAGCTTAAACATTAGAATTGCTGTTTTCTCCTCACTGGAAAAATGTCCGTCATGTGGTTTTGCAGCAGTGCAAAGGAAAGCAACATGTATTCCTGCAGAGGCAATGCCAAGGCTTGCTACACAGAAAACTAGTCAGAAACATTCATGCATTACATATTTCCAACAGAGCATGTGGATTAAGTGATCCATTTTAACTTCCCCAGGGACTTGGAATACAGCCCCTTAGTTCCAACGAGGAGCAGGACCAGACCATTACAGCATCTCCCCTGATTTCTTACTGATCCCAAACCATCTGCTTCTCGGTGGTAATAGTCTTTTGCTGTTCGTTAACATAGTTAATCCTCTAGCGTAAGCTGTAGTAATTTATGCTGGATGTTTGGGTTTCACGTGGTACTAATGGTATCTAATGAACTGTGACTAACAGAAACATCTGTTCTACACAATAGTTAATTTTTTTCTTTTCTTTTTTTTTTTTAATCCCAGTGATTAGATATACAAAAATAGTTAGGATCTCTTTAGGCTGCAAAGATTAGAACTCAAACCTTCAGTACTGAAATAGGCCAAATTTAATACTACCCATGCAACCTTGATTTAGCTCACGCTTTTTTATGAATTGTTTGATTTTGATGCATGGTATGTCTTGCTGCCTTTTCACTAGCCAAATGAAAAAGGGGCTGAAGGAAGGTTGAATGGGACATCTGTAAGACTGCGGTGTCCTCATTTAACCATATGACTAGAAGCTAGAGAACATCTCTTTATTTATTTATGTGTAATATTTGTTCTACAATTGAGCAATATGATAAAAAAACCTATGCAAGTATTCATTTACGAGTAAGAAAACTGCAGAAGTTGAAAAGTTATTAATATTAATGAAGGCTATGCTCCAGAATAACATGAGTGAGAAATGGGATATGCTAAAAACAACCAGTTATATACTGTTTGTACTTTGAAAGGAAAGTAAAAAAATTAAAAAAAAAAAACAAAACAAAACAAAACAGAAGTGTTACTTAGAGTGTTGCAGAGTTAATAATGCAATAGAAATCTTAGCTCTTTCTAATTTGAGGGCTTAATTTCTTAGTCTTAATGTTGCAGTAATGTGGTTTCCAGATTTAATATCCTTCTATTTATTTGTTTTTAACAACTCAGAGGGAAAATAAGAGAAACACATTGTGAAAATGCTGTAATGAGATCTTAGTGCTACTAACATGCATTACATTTTCTGTAAAGTTGCTGATTGCATTTAGAGTCACCTCAGCAGCGCTAAATCATTTCAGCAGTTTACTCTTACCAACAGTGTCATTAAATTTCCACAAGTTTAGAAAATGCATTTGAAAAAAACAGAAAGAAAATACCTTCTTCTTGTATGAAAATGTCACTTTATAACATCTATAGTTTTAAAAATAAAAACCAGATTTTCTTCAGGCATGAACCCTTTATTCTTCCCCTGTGGGACTCCTAAGGAACTCTTTAAATTCACGTGATCGTGCAGTTAAAATCTGGGCTGACTCAGCAAAGTGTTTAACTATGTGCTTAAATTCTATTGCAATCAATAGAATTTGAGCATGTGCTTAAATATTATGTTGAAAAGAAATGGATTTACACACGTGTTTTAAAGCTAAGCATGTACCAAAGTAGGCCCATAATACGTCAAAGCAAATTGGAAGAATTCAGGTTGTAAAAGCCCTACCTTTGTGGTGACTGACTTCATGAGTAAAGTATTTTGATATAGCTTTTATATATAATTTAAAATGTACAGTATAATGCTGTAGTTATTATGGTCTGTGAATTAGCTAAGATAGGACAGTTTATGTGTCTGTCAGCTTAAAATACGTACACCAGAATTAAGAATACTTTCAGCTAAATATCTAAATGTACATTTTCTACTCTTGCATATGGTTTGCTTTTATTTAGTTACTGAAGTATTTGAAGTCATTTAGAACTGTGAAGGCTATCTTTAAAAATGCAGCTGCATATATAAGAAGTTACAAATACGTATGGGTACCTAATACCAGGATCCCACATTCCACCATTTTCGATGTTCTGACCTGTTTTTAACTTATTCCTCCAGTGTTTCCCTGTAATATGAAACTTGATTATTTTGAGGCACTGAATCACCAGACAGCGTCATGTTCTGGTTGGCTGAAGGGCATAAGCAATTCCACTTTTTTATTTGCTTCTTTCTATAAAAAGTTTTTTCTGCATTAGAGAAGATTTCTGTTTCTCCTGGTGATCCCCCTTGCACTGTGTTAAACTTCTTCTGCCCTGTACTGTGAAAGTGGCACGTATTTCCCACAAAACATTTGGGTATCTTAATTTTCCAGAGAAAATGTTTATGACATCAAATGGTCAGCAGTCAATGATGTGATGGTATGTGTTATGCTCACCTGCTGTCTTGCCCTGTAACACCCTACCTGTCACTGTGCTGCCATTGTCCCTGCTTAACCCACGCCCATGCCCCTTTGCAGAGCTGGATAGATGCCATCTGCAGAGCTTCACTGCTTCCCCGGGAGCAGTACTGCCGTGGAAAATGGGGGGAGGGAAGAGAGAAGGCAAGGAGAGCAGGGTGGTGAGCAGCAATAGGTGCTAACTTGAGGATCCTGCAGGGAAACCCCTGCTGCTGCCAGCTGCTGTGGTCTCCCTCTGTCCGTCTGGGACAGATCCTAACCCTCAGCAGGACCAGGACATTTGGCACATGGAGAAAGGAAATGGGATGATGGAGGAGACTTGAGGCACAGACCTCCCAGATGCCATCAAGTATCCAAACATCAGAGGAGTGTCACAGTACTTTGTTACCCTGAATCTTTTCTTTGGTAACACAATTGTGAGAAGTATATAAAAAAATATACTTCCCTTGGCTATGATCTGTCATATAAGTTTAAAGGCAGAACCAAGCCTCAAAAAATGGGCAGATTCTTGTGTCCTCAGGAGCAAATTATGTCAATAGTTGAGAATTTGGTGGATTTCTAGAAAGTTCCAAGACGACCTCTGTGTTGCCTTGATTCCAGTGAGGAATCGCATCCCAGTGGCCAGTGTTGCTCCCCTAGAGCAGGGACATGGAACAGGACTTGTAATTTTGGTAGGTGAGTAGTCAAGCTGATGCAAAATATATGTAGGTAGCAACAGGCTTTAGTCACCTGTATAAAAAGTGCTATAAGGCAGAGCAGGGCCCAGAGAAGTAAAATATTATCTGTAACAGTAAAATGTGTGGGTATATTAGTCAACAAATGAGATATGCAACTTCTGAAATATGAAAAATGAACTTCACATATCATGTGTGAAACCTTCCCAACCACAGAGGAGCATGGTGCTGTTGTCCGATACACTGTCAAACGCTGCTCTTCTGAAACCACATCATCTTGTAGAACTGAAAAAGATGCCGTGCAAGTTGCCTAATATTTCTAAAAATAAGTGTGAGCTGCTGTCTCTCTCCAAATTTTAACGACTCAACCAAACAGTAACATAGACACGGTAAGTGTGTCTAACATGCTGTGCCACAACTGGTGACTTACTATAAGAATTACATGAAGCATGCTAAATACGGAAAGGCTGCTTATAACTACACGCACAAAACCCGGTCCCAGGTTGACATCTGCCCCCGCCTTCTGCTACCCCCAACCCGATTAGCTGCAGAAATCGCCTCTCCGGCGTCGGCTGCCGGTCCTGCAGGGAGCAGGCAGCCGCCTGGCTCCCCTGCCAAAGCCAACTGTGGCGTAGCCAGAGAAACGGGCAGCAAAAATAGAACAGCAGGATGGCTGCGCGTGGGCGAGGCAGAAACCACATCGCCAGCAAAACCTCCCAGCGTTATTTTAGGACCGATACAGACAGAGGCCGTGGCGTTCTGCTCGCTTTTCACAAAACACTCCCCGGGGGAGGGTGAAGCGGGAGAGGGGCGCGAGTCCCGGGCAAGGTGCGTTCCTGTCCCGCTCCTGCCCTCCCTGCCTCCCCGGCCTCCCTCCCTGGCGTCTCCCCACCGAAACGGGCTGGGCAGGAGGAAGGGGTTAATTGAGCTCGAGGCCGAGCGGCGGAGAGAGGACGGGCGGCAGTTTGAAAGACAGAGAGTGGACAGCTGTGTTTGCTGTGGTATTTTTAAACGCATTAATGCAGGCTCCAATCACCCGGCCATGCTTGACCTATTTTTGGCTCAGGCCGGCCATTGTTCTATTTCTGCCGCCGCTGGGCCACGAGGGTGTCAATTCAAATGCAAATGAGTTATCGCTGCTGCTCCCGCCAACTTCGCCCAGCCGCCTGGCCGAGGGACAGGCGGCCGGCAGAGGAGAGGGGCGCGGGCACAGCAACGCGGGACTAGCCTGGGGTCATTCAGATTAAATCCTCCGGGGCTCCTGGTCCCTGGAAAGGTGGCTTAATCGGGTTGATGGTTTGTTAGAGGCAGTTTCTTCTCCCCCCCCCCCAGCCCCCCCGCCCTGCCAGGAAGCCCAGAGCGCAGAGATATTTCTTCATTTCTCCTTCCACCTGCCGTTGGCTGCCCGAACGCAACTGCTCCAAGTCGGCAGCGCGCAGCCCCCCGCACGCTCACGGCTCCCTTCCAGCGGCCGGGGGCTGCCGCCAGTGGATTTGGGGTTTTCCCCCTCTCCTGATAGATACTTGTGCAAATGCTTAAACACTGCTAATTGCCGAAGCATATTATCCTACAACCCTCGCTGAGGAGGTAGGACCGCAGAGGGTCGTGCCCGACGCCCATGTGCAAGTGCAGTGATGAATCTCTTGTGTAGCTGAAGTGCAGACCAGTTGGAATATGCTGCAGACAATTTACGAGAGTGAATCGTGTTTTTCCTCAGATGGAGTTTCTGGACGCGAACAGCTCTTGGCTCAGCAAAGAATGCACAGTATGATCAGCTCAGGTAAGAGACTTCAGTGGCTGACCGGGAAAATACATGACAAGAAAACACCCTTCCGTTACAGAAGTGACAGTTTTTGTGGGTTTTATGTAAGTTGTTGTTAAATAGTTCTGGTAGTATTTTAGATAGCAGTTGCTGCTTTTGTGGGGAGTTTGTCTCCTTTGTTCTGCTGCTTTCCAGACATAGCAAAATGCTCACAACTGAAATCTAGTTTGGGTTTCCTTGTTTGTTTTGTTGTGGGATTGCAAAATGGGGCTCATGATATACAGGCTTATTCCCAGGGAGAGACTTCCTCAGACAGACGTTGTCAGGAGGCTGCACTTGGAACCCCTCATAGGCAATTCTAATCATATGGTTATTGTAAACAGGATTTGCTCTTTCTGTGAGTTTCCTTTTCCCTAGTTTGCATATGAAGGGAGTTTAATACCAATCCCTTTGTCTTTTCATTAAAGTGTTACTTTAAAATGTCTTTAAGCTGCATGGCTTATTTTGTTACTTTAAAAATATTTGTGATCCTGGCAATGGTAGTTATATATTATGACTCACTGAGATGTAAATTGGTTGTGTTATTTAATGAAGGTGTTTCAAAGCTGCTCTGAAAGAACATTGCATGTATTTGAAGCTACCCTTGTATTTTATAGTTTCTTTGCTAGCTGTATTTGAGACCTGCAAATGATGGACTGAGGATAAATTAAGTTGGAAGAATTGTTGCCATTCAGCTAAGATATCAATTTAGACAGGCTAAAAAGTCAAAATTTCAGGTTGCTCTTGGTTATTCTCTCCTAAGATGTGAATTCCACTTCTGTTTTTATTGGACTGAAACTCTTGTCTTTTGAGGCACAATGTTACCTGTTTTACATCTTTTAAAACCTAGGTTTCTGACTTTGTTCCGCATAAAGTTAGCTTTATAGAGGACTATATGTAGAATGCAGGGTGAATTGTTTGCATGTACTTTAGTCTTCGTTTATACCTCCTTTTCTCTTTTTTTCTTTTTATTTTTCTTTTTCTTGTTTTCTTTCTTTTGCTTTTCTTCTTTTTCTCTCTTTTTCTTTTTTTTCCCTATTTCTTTTTTTTCTTTCACAAAACTCGACTGTCACCAATTTTTGAAAAGAAATATATATGTAGACCATACCTCTCTTCACATGTTACCTGTTTTGGTACACCTGTTGAGCCCGTGTTTGTTTGTTTGTTTAAAAATTGTTTATTTTCCTGCTTTATAGAAAAAGAGCTTAGAGTTTTACTTGTGATCCAGTTACAGTTCCTTTGTCAAGGACACAAATCAGGTGAAGATGTGTTTATAAGTCTGAACAATGAAGCTCTAGCAAAGACAGTGGGTAAAAGCAAAAGTTTCTCTGAAAGTGTTAAACTTTTGGAAAGCCATCTACAGTGTCAACCTCTTGTTCAAGAATTATTGCTTTTCCTTAGTTTTCTGAACAGCTCAACAGGTGTCCAGCACTTCTGTATTGGTCAGAGATAAGACTGACTGCTTCCCCTCCCTCCTGTTTGTTGGGATTTTTTGTTTGTTTTTCATTTTAGTACTATGTCCAGTTGAAGTTAACTGTACACAAGTGAAAATCTGGGGGTTTTATCTCGCTGTGCTGCCCTGTAGCTTCCAACTAATTTTTGTATGAGTAATAGCGGTTTGAAACTCAAGAGAAGGAGGTAATTTTCTGTAAGTTTATAGCTCTGCTTTTCTTCACTGGAAACACGAATATCACGTAACTGTTGATTTTTATCTGATAGTACATTAGGTAGGTCCACATAACATATACAATTTCCTCTGTAGTGCCAAGTAGAATAGAGAGAGGGCTTTTTTAGACTAAAAATAAAAACCCAAAACCTTAATCGAGAACATTACCTAGGTGAAAGATGTTTAAGTATATATATTCTATACAACACAAATTATTCCTCTGTGTTTCAGTTGGCCTTTAAAATACACAACTAGACTGCAAGTAGTTGACATTGTGCATAGTCTGCAGCTCAGCTCATGTCATGTGAAACCACAAGGCCTGGTGCTGCTCCTGATTACCTTCAGCTCCCTCCAGTTCACAGTCTTGCAGTATCAGGCCTGGTAACTTTTCAGGTATTGTCTCCCTTTATGCTGCGTATAGGGAAGAAAGAAATAGCCAGGGTATGACAATATGCAGTATCATTTGGAGTAGCAAAATCATTTGAATTTTGCTTATTACAGTGTCCTTACTTCAAAGTTATCTTCACTTGCATGGATATGACTTTTAGTCAGGTTAAAAAGTTGCACATATTGCAGAGACGAGCAGATCCCTGAACATTTACAGTTTGCTCCCTTGATATGCTTGCTTCAAAGACTTCAAGCATAATTTGAAATAGTCAATGGATTTTTAGGTTTGCTGTTATCCAGATAACAACACACATATATTATGCAACTGTGATTTTAAACTGGGCTGGAGCGATCCCCAAAGAGGAGAGGTTCAATGGCCAGTGACTACGTATTTGCAAAGCAAAATGTCTAAGAACTCTCTCACAATAGCAGACATAGGAAATACTTCTGTCATGTGAAACAGTTCTCCTGGTATTCCCTCAATTACTGCTTTGCCTGTCTGTCTCCATCCCTGCTTGTAAGTCATACTATGAATGAGATGATCTGGATAGGTACCAATCAAAAGTCTAATTATGAATGGAGCAATCTAGATCGGCACTGACTCAAGAAGCTGTGTAATTTGCAGACACCTACACCTTACTGCAGAGAGCAGTTTCAGCTATCCTGAGAAGGCTGAACTAGATTCTCCCATATGGTACTGTTGCTGTAAAATGCAGTAGCAAGTGCTGTGCGTCTTTATTTAGGAAAATGATGCTGATGTATTCTTATTTGATACCATAATTATCTTAGTTTCATAATTTAAAAAATAAACCTGGAGTCTAAAGCCTCTTATTTAGCTGGAATTACTATTTATCTATGCTGCCCCTTTTATTCTACCCAAAAAACCTCAACTTCCATGTGTGTGCAATGCCACAGTGGACCCTAACATTCAGCTGGCCCCTGATCTTACCACAACACAGATAATAAACTGTATGTCCTTGAAAAAAAACATTTGGTGCAGCACAGTCCATGGGAGAAACACTCATTAAAATATAGTTAATAAATAACTGGTGTAGGGCTAAATTTCTCAAATAGAGGGCACTTGTGTGAAAGAGAAAGAAGAACCTACCCAGCCATGGTATCTGTAGATGTGAGACTTCAAGAAGCAGTGCCAAGTTCATTAACTTCTGGTGATTTAATATACTGTGCTGTTTTTCCAAGGGGTAAGGTTGCTAAGTTTGCTCCACTGGCCATATCTTGATGTACAGCCTTGCAGCGGCCTGCCTGAATTCCACCTTGGCTTTTATTGAATAAGGTATCCTCTGCTTCCTGCCTAAAGCTGTTGTGTTGAAAAATCAAGAGTTCAAGGAGATCGTGAGCTTAAAGCTTGGCTTGTCAGCGACTTGACAGGTGACCTGAGCAAGTTACACAATCCTGCTTACGTCAGCTAACCCTTCAGTGAAATACGGAAAATGATACCTGTCAGGCTCAGGAATCAATAGAGCAAAGCTATTCTAAAGGGGATATAATGATTCAGAATGATTAATTTGATTGACTTCATCTACCTACAGGCTTGTAAAACACCTGCAATTTCACAAATGTAGTAAGTGAATGTAGAGTATTTTATTCTCTGCACCAGCCAGGAAATTCACGCTGTGTCACTCGAATATAAATGACAGAATCAATGCTACACGCCTCATGTTGTACGTGGGTTGACAGGTCCTCATGAGCTATTTTCCCTTAGTAAACCCCAGTGTACAGATTTTGTCTTGTATGTTGTATCTGTCATGTATCTGCATGGTCTCATATATACATGGTTTGTTTTACACATGGATTTATATTGCCTTCAGCAAAATTCTTTGATATTTGCTCTCCTATTTTTCCTGACCAAACAAAACCTTCACCTGCTCACCTGTTCCTGTGGAGAACCTGAAGAAAGCAGGTTAATTTATAGTTTTGCTCTGATATTCATGAAAAACTTGACTTATTTGCATATCTGAATCAGGTAACATAAACTTCTTACAGATACAAAATGTTGCATATCTGGTATGTCAGGCCCTAACACATCAGAGAAAGTAGAGAGTGAGAATAGATATGCTGAGCTTTTACTTTGTGATTCTCTTCAGAGTAATGAAAAAATTGAGTGCAGAAATTCAGTACAGGGAAGTTCTGGATAACAGCTGGAGTGACTTTTTCATTGCCCATTGTAAAGGCTAGGTACAAAAAAATCTAGTGCTTCATTGTAGTAGCTGAAGTATTTGAATTAATTGTTGGGGAAGAGTGAGGCCTTAGCCTTATACAATTAATGCAATGAGAAGAAACAAACAACAGAGACCGGCAGGTCTTATGTAGTTAAAATCTCACTGATTTTGGGTAGAGGCTCTGCCCAGCAATGTATACTGGACAAGACATCGGTTATGAATTCAGTTGAACAAAAATGTGATAAAATGGAATGAAGCTGCTTTTTCTGTTTTGCATTATTGAGAATACATCGATTACAGACTAATGATGCCAGTTTCATGTGTCTGATGCTGTAACAACACTAAAACATTGCCTTTTCTTTCTTATTATTCAAGTCCTAGCTTCTGAAGCCGTGTGATTACCTGACAGCCTTGCTTTGTATTACAAGGTATATTTATAGGTTGTGGGAAAAGCCTGGAATAAGAATTTCAAAGTACAAGATTGACAAGAATAGCAAGTTACAAGAGCTGGAAAGTAAATAAAAAAGTATGCAGAACATTACTTCAAAACCTCTTTCAGCGTCTTTCCAGAGACCATTAAACCCTGCATTTAGTACAGAGGTTCACTAGTGCTGGCGCTAGGACACCAGCTCCCCTCTCTCCGGTGCGTTGAGCTAAATCTCTTTATTGGAAAAGAGCTTTTTACTTCAACCGTTTATTACTTTAGCTGTTCAGCTTTATAATACTCATTGGTTTGCACTGCACTC